TCATTGTAGTGTTTAGTTTTCTAGCCTCCTTGTTGAGTTTCTTTCTCTGTAATCTATTTTTCTCAGAAAGCAGTGTATTGAAGTACCTACTATAATTGTTGAGGCTGTGATTTCTTTTTTCATCTTTTGGAGCATTTTCTTGAGGCATTCAGTGGGTCTCTCATTCAGGGAATATGTGTTTTAAATGATTAGTGGTTCTTTGTCTACCATTCCCTTGATCATTATATAATGTCCCTCCTTATCTCTTTATATGGTTTGCACTTTTAGATCAATTCTATCCAAGATTAGAATTGCAGCCCATGCTTCTTTTGAATTGCTGTTTACTTGGTATTCCATTCTCCAGCCTTTGATTCTCAACCTACTTTTGTCTGTAGTCTTGAGATGTGTCTCCTCTAGGCAGCAGATTGATGGGCTGTGTTTTCTAAGCCAGTCTGCTAGCCTCAGTCTTATAATGCCTGAGTTCATTCCATTGATATTCTCTGTGATGTCATCTTATAACTCTTATGTTAGGTGTTTTCCTACTTCCCTTTCTTATCAGTGTGTTGTGTTGTTTGTTTGCTTGTTTGTTTGTGTGTGTGTGTGTGTGTGTGTGTGTGTGTTTCATTCTTGACTTCTTTCCACCCTTAAGCCAATTCTATCTTGGGGGCTGTTTTCCTCTGTAGCCCTCTGTGTGGGGTTGTTTCTTGTGGCAGTCTCTTATTTATGCTTGGAAAGTGCTGTTCTTTTGCCCATAGTGGGTCAGCAAGGAGCTTTTGTAGGGCTGTATTCTTTGAGTTTTTCCTTGTCTTGGTAGACTCTTACTTCTCCACCTATCTTGATAGATAATTTGGCTAGATAGAATATACTTGATTTGTGTTATTTTCCTTCAATTTATGGAATGTGTTGCTCTACTCTCTCCTTTTCTTCATAGTGTCCACTGATAGGTCTGACCATATAATTTTGGAACCTTTATAAGTGATTGTTTGTTTTTCTCTAGCTGTTCTCATGATTTTCTCCTTTTCCTCAAAGTTGGATAGTTTAACTATTATGTGCCTTTGTGACTTCTTGGCATTCAGTCTAGCTGGTGTTCTTTCAGACTCCTGAATGGTTGCCTGATGCCTGGTTTTCATTCATTAAGCTGGGGAAGTTATCCTCCAAAAATTCTCTCACTATTGTTGCAGATGACGTCTTTGTTGTGTTTTCCTCTGGAAATCCAATTATTCTGATGTTGTTCCTATTCATAACATCAGACACAGCTCTTAGGTTTTCTTCTGCTTCTCTGATGGTCTTATTAGATTTTTGTTCATGTTTGTTAAAGTCTGCTTGGCTGTCCTCTAAGTCACTGCTGTGCTTCTCTGCCTCCTCCAGTTGATTGGCAAAGTCTGTGAGTCTGCTGCCGGTTTTTGTTAACTCATCCCTAAGCTCTTGTATTTCACTTTGGTGTATGGTCTTTATTTCCTTTACCATTTCATCCTTTTTTCTGCATTGTTTCCCTCATATCCTGTATGACTCCAAGCAGCATTCTGAAAATTTCTCTGTGGCAGATCAATGTCTGCTTCTTCTATGCATGTCATTAGGTTCAGGACATCTTCTGCCATGTCCTTTTTTTTCTCCTGTTTTTCTTTGAGGTGGTTGGGGCTGATTGCTGTTTGTGTTGCATTGTTTTAGAGGGGCCAGGTACCATTTTCCAGGGAGTCAAAGAGCACTGGCTGTCTCTGGGAGACTCCTAGGAATGCTTCTTCGAACTGCCTGCAGCTAATTTGACTATGAAATTGTCCTCCCACTTTAGCTTCCTGTGGCTTCATTCTTTCCCTAATCAACCAGTATTCTGTTATTTTGAGGGAAAATTGGATGAACCTCTCAGGGGATGCTGGTTGGGTTGTTGTGGACCCCGAGGATGGTGCTCTACTGACTGATCTCACAAGAAGCCATGATTGTGTGCCCACAACATTTTGGTGCACTGCAGAGGGCATATGGGGGTATCTGCTGCAATGGGAGTGCCACAGAAGACTGGTGGGTTGTCTGCTTTCATGTAGAGCACCAAGAATGGTGGGCAGAATTTCCCTGATCAGGTAGATCACTGCAGAGGTTGGGCAGAGTTTCCCACAGCGTGAAAATGGTGAGTGTTGGCCGAGCAGCCTTAGGCCATGTGAGGCACTACAGCAGGTAGGAGGAAGTTTCCTCAGTCACGTGGGACCACAGAGGATGGGTAGTTTCTCCCCAGACATGCAAGCGGGATTTCCCCCAAAGAAGGTGGGTGGGATTTCCCCAGCCATGCGTTAAGCACTGCAGAGGATGGGTGGACAGAATTTCCCCAGGAAGAAGGTGGGTGGGATTTCCCCAGGAAGAAGTTGGGTGGCATATCCCCTGGTGGAGTGTGGGCTTTCCCCAGCCTAGGGTTACGCTGCAGAGGGTGGAGCTCTCCCAGCTGAGTGGAGGGAAGGTGTAAATGCCCTAAGCTAAGGGAAGTGGTCTGGAAGTTGGCAGTGGCATGTGAGAGAAAAGGGAAGAGAAAAAGAAAAAAAAACTACACCCACCGAGACTGTGGGGGGATAGATAGAAGAGAGGGAAACAAAAGTAACAATATAGCTGAGCCTTGGTGGCTGATGGTGGGGCTGGAGGTGTTAATCCCTACCCTGAGGTGGTGGCAAGCTGTGGCTATGTTGAGATAAAGCCCTTGTGCCTGCTCCAAATGATCCCAGCTCTGGTCAATACAGTAGCAGGGCTAAGTTCAAACCCTAGCCGGCTTCCACTTTGGTAACCCAAAAGACCCCAACTTCTCAAAACCTAGTGGATCTGTGCCTACTTATCTTTATGATGCTCCTCCTGTGACCTGTTAGTGTGGAATTTCCCTCTTGGTAACGCTTTTGCACTGATTTCTGCAGAGTCCTGGTATGTGTTACTCAGTCGCCATCTTCCTGGAAGTCCCCCTTCCTTCCCAGCTTGATATTTGTAAGCATGTTATTCCTTTTTTGTTTTCTAACTCCACGTCTTTGCATATTTCCTTATTACACTTTACTTTTTCTTTTCTAGCTCTCCTTTCTTTCATGTAGGCCTAAGACTACCAAATAATCTAGGAGCTTGAGTCCTAGACTCAAAGGGGACAAGGATGAGGGAAGGGAGCCACCTTGGCCAGACCCTGAGATGAACATCTCTTGGGATGTTGACCTTACTTCATCCAAGCCCTGTCTTTGTCTCTGACTGCATCTTTAACCACTGTATTCAAGTCATGCATTTTATTTTCATTGTAGGAAGTCAATTTCCCTCTGGGCATGAATTGAACTCATTTCTATAATGGCAGAAAGGGAGATTTATTATTTAAGTTCTTTGCATGACATAAGATAAAGGAGTGTCCTACACTAACTCAGAAGAAGCCAAGCTGTTTCCAAAATGCAGCCTTTAATATTTTTTATTCAAAATCAGTTAGCGTCAATGCAATGCTTTTAAGCTTAAAGCTTTCTCTAGGTTACCCATATAAGGGAAGGATAAATTGAATTTATTTTGTTTGATTGAATTATCAAACTTCACTAATCTTGACATATTTTCTAGCCAACAAATCAAAGTGATGTCAAAAGCTAAGTTAGCTTTCTGAATGCTGATGAGTAATTTTAACATTCAAGGTTCCCCCCCTTCTGCCCAAAAGAAATACCATGACTGCGTCTGCACACCCATCACTTTTTAATAGATTGTGTTAGTAGTGAGATCAACTGCTAATAGAACTCAAAAAAAACCAAGCTGCCTGAGGATTTCTTCATTGATTCCAAATGAATTGAAACTTTGATCCATTACAGCATTCAGCAGAAACCATTATTATACATGCTCACTAGCTACATTTTGTAAATGTTAATTTCTCAGTTATATTTAAATCAACTCTCTTAAATAGTAAAAGGCAACAGAGTGAAAGAGAAATCACTAAGACCATTTTTCTGTTCTTGGGGCATTTTGCTGTATTATGTCTATTAATTTTCATAACCAGCAGGAAGAGAATTAGAAAAATTCAAATATCATCCCAAACAGGATATTAGAAGGCAATGTTCCAGTAAATTTCAAACGATTGATAATGTATTTATGGAAACTTTAAACTCACTAACAATATTTGTTGTACAAACCCCTTCTGTTTTTTTTTTGTAGTTTAGACACTGAAGAAATGATCTTCCTTATATTAATTCCTCCTCCTTTGTTTGTGAGCTAATATAGTTTTAGGAAAATCAGATACTTTCTAAATGGATTTCAGTTCATTTCGCATCACTTTTTGAATGTTATTAAAGATTAATGTCGTCTTGGTAACAGCTTAGGAACATGGGAGGAAGTAATTAATTGGCAAACTATGCCAGTTGCTGCTGATTTGAGTCTAACTCATGGTGCCACCCGAGCGCTTCATTGTATAACTGCTCCATGGAGGTTTCGTGGCTTTGAATTTCGGGGACTAGATGGCCAGGCCTTTCTTCTCCCTCTTCTTCTTCTTCTTCTTTTTGCAATATAATATTTAGTGGAAAAATCTGAATTTTCTAAATTAATTTCTTTTCATCATGGATCACTTTTCAGATGTTGTTGGAGATGTATTGATCCCTACTAATACACTTTAAGGAAAGGAGAAGAAATATTGATCTGGAAGTAAAATGTAGAATTCATGTCATTCATAAGGGGAAAAATGACCCCAGTTTGGAGCAAAACATAAAAAGTAATGTGAGGCTTGGTGTTAATTGGAGTGGGGAATTATTTGGTTTTAAGCCAGATAAAGTTAGAATGCAATCTAATTATTCTATTATCCCAAACCTATTCCCTCCTTACAGATAGATTTATTGATATTATTGTAAGTAACATGATATATTTTCAGTGTCTCAAAAAATGATTAATTATTTCCTTAGCATTTTGGGAAAATTTTTGTTTTGAATAAAGAGGTAGCTAGTTCTGTATTTGTATTTAATATCTTCAGCTCAGTCAGTATGAACATTTTTCCTTTAACAAATGTTCTAACATATATGCATTTTTGAAATAAGTATTATTTCATATTTTAGCTTATTTCAACACTACAAGCTATATGAGTTCCTGTTCTATTCTACCAGGGAAGAAATTGTAATAGGAACTGAGGTAAGTAATTTATTTGGATAAACCAATTAGGCTGAATCACTTAATGCATGCTGATCAGCATGTGGATTTTTAACTGCTTACAGCAACTTCTTGTCAAGATTAGTCAATCTAGTAGTTTGCACAAAAAGAATAATTCTGTCAAATGAGCATTGGATTAAGAAAATAAGCTATCTATGGCACAAAGTATTATTACTAATGTGAACTTTATGTATTTATGGATTATTTGCTAAAGCTCAATTGAATAGGAAACATATGTCTTCAAACCAATAAAATCAGGAAAAGTGAGATCAATTAATTGACTTAATCTCTTTCAGCTTTACATTTATTTCCAGTTTGTTTATTGTTCAAGGCCTAAACCAAATCCCGCTTTCTCAATGAAGCATCACAGTGATTGCTTCCTAATAGAAATGAAGCGTTTGCGCAAACTGTGTAATCACATTCTATGATTTTATTCTCATTGATATCTTCCTGATAGTTTCAGGTTATTTTTAGCATGTCAGTAAGCATTTAAATGTGTGCTATAGTATATGGTTCTAAAATACATGTGGTGTGATTTAGTTGACCTCCCTCGGCTATAGTGTTTTTAAGGCAAAGCTTTTCAGTTTTCCTATGACAGCCTAATGCCTCTCAGTCTGTAAGTGATCCAGTAGCAGTGACCGGAGTAAACGGACTCTACTTGAGATATTTTTAACACCTTGTCATGTGATTGTGTATTTGTTATTATTAATAATAAATCATGGATAAAAGAACCTCTTAAGGTATCTAAAGATGTCATAAAACGTGCTACCAAAGCTTCTATATACATTAATGGGAGATGACTTCCCAATAACCAACAACATAGGTTCTCAATTACCTTAGGAGGCGGTACAACTATCAGAAACAGATGGAATCATGTTCTGAAACAAATGTAAATAAAGGATATTTATAATATGATAACTATTTTCTGATAATCAGAACTAGATGGAATGTACTGACCGCTTTGTCTTTCAGAGTGGCATTTTAGGGCTTTATTACTTAACCTCATGAACACTTCAGTCATCATTTGTTGTTGTTGTTTTTTTTTTAGTTCCAAATTTTAATCAATATATACATTTTTTAAAGTTCAATATTGTTTAAAAATTAAAGCTGCCAGAATATCCTTGTGTATGATAGCAGATAGTCTCACAGAGTGACTGGTGGATTTGTCGATCCTGTGGTTAGCCAATAGCACCAGCA